TTTAAGATATACACATAAATACACATATACAGAATGTTTAAAATTGCGAAAATTTTCAAACTACAAATACATTTCCTACTAATAATAAACATTACTCTATTTTAAACATTTTATGTGTAATTTTGCTCTTCCGACAAATTCGTTATGTAAAAGTAAACAGGCAATGATTAATTTTATTACATCGCATGCAAATTTGCACACATTAAAAGAGGAAACTGGTAACTTCTCTCAATATGCGCAAATAAGCAAAATTTTTTTAGAGTGTATTTAAAAACTTTTCAGTAAAATTCATAAAAGTTTTCTTAAATAATTCAAATTTAGTTTTTTAAGCTACATTGAAGTCTTCTTTCTTTTTAAATTAACAAATGAAAATATGTGATATGAAAGAGATTACTACAGAAAGAGTATAAATTACTTTATATATATCGTCGTTTAAAGTACAAAACCGCGTATCGTCATTCTGCAAAACCGCGTACCTGACGTTTGCTGCCGAAAATTGGATTTGCTCACACAAGCTCTTGGCTCAATCCTTATCCATTCGACCTGAAATATACTAGCCAGAAATGTGATTGCTTTATAAAAAAGAGAACCATTTTGAAATATAAGTGTTTTTACTCTCTAGAAAATAATTTATGCAACGTCACATACGCGGTTTTGCATTATCTTGATACGCGGTTTTGCATTTGGTTGATATGCGGTTTTGTACTTTAAACGACGATATGTATATTAAGATCTTGCGTAAAGCATCCTTTTAAGCCAATTAAAGCAATTGCGCTTATACCTATTTTGGTGAGATCTTTTCATATGTTCATTGCTTCGTTCATAAAAAATAAAATGCTTTAATTTCACGCTTAAGTAGCGATTCTTTATACGTTTAGAAAACGTAATGATTTCTACCATCTTTAATGAAAATCGATTTTTGAACGAAAAAAACTTTATAGGAAATATAAAATTTTGGCCTATTTAAAAAAGTATCCACATTTATACTGACCGGAAAAAATAAGTATCCCGCAAAAATTCGTCTAAAAATGTATCCAATTGTATCTATTTAGATCCAAACGGCATCCCTGTCTGAAACTTTAATTAAAATAGCTTTTATTCACCTCCAGGTATTTTATATTTGTCCGCAAACCACTCCTTGCATCTGGACGAATTCTCGGGTACAAACAGTATATGCTGTGGACACAACTGGTTTTCCATCTCGAGCAAAACATGGGATACAAACTTCGAGACAGTGCTTTGGCACATACCAACTAAGTAGTCACTGCCAATACTATGTTGGTATCCGGCGCTTGCCAGGAGAGAAAGAGTGGCAGCCAATTGGAGCACTTGAGGTAGAGATTTTGCATCCGGCCGCTTTAAATCTAAACGCTGCAGCAATATTCAAAGGCCTCTTTGGTCAAGCGAAACCGTTTCAGGAATCTCCAAAGCAAAATTTGTAAATGAGCTTCAATAAATAAAGCATTTATATGCTTATGCTGTGTTTGGGAGTGCCAAAAGATTGCTCCGTTCTCTTAGCTCCGCA